TCCGCTCCGCTGCACCTCGCCTGCCCGCGCACAGCCTCGCGCGCGGGGGTCCCCGCGCGGCCGCGGCCGCGGAGCGCGCCGCGGCGCGGCCGCGGGCTTTCCGCGCGCGCGCGCTGCGAGGAGAGGGCGGACTGGCCAGGGCGACTGGGCGGGGGCTGGCTGAGGGGGAGCGCTATCGGCGGCGAGCCCAGGGGAGAAGGCAGAGGGGGTGGGTGGGCCTGCTCAGAAGGCCCAGGGGCTCTTTGAGCCTTCTCGGCAGGTTCCTGACCCTTCTCCGAAAATTAGCCTGGCGAAGGACCCAACCATATGCAGCTGCGAGTACCGCACGGATATGAGACGAAGGAGGGGGCACGCAAACTAGGCCCCTCTTCTCATAGGCACCGCGCCACTGGGGCCTTCGGTGGAGCTCCCTATGGGGCCACGAAGCGTGTGAGGGGTGTGCCCGAATGGGTGGTGGGGAAGCATGCGGACCCTGCCACTGGGGCCTTCGGTGGAGCTCCCTATGGGGCCACGAAACGTGTGAGGGGTGTGCCGAAATGGGTGGTGGGGAGCCACTGGGGCCTTCGGTGGAGTTCCCTATGGGGCCACGAAACGTATGAGGGGTGTGCCGAAATGGGTGGTGGGGACGCATGCGAACGCAACCACTGGGGCCCCTTCGGTGGAGCTCCTCATGGGGCCACGAAACGTGTGAGGGGTGGGCCGAAATGGGCGAGGGGCGGCATGCCAACCCTGCCACTGGGGCCTTCGGTGGAGCTCATTATGGGGCCACGAAACGTGTCAAGGGTGTGTCGACATGGGTGGCGCGGACGCATGCGAACCCTGCCGCTGGGGCCGTCGGTGGAACTCCCAATGGAGCCACGAAACGTGTGAGGGGTGTGCAAAAGTGGATGGGGGCGGCATGCGAACCCTGCCACGGGGGCCTTCGGTAGAGCACCCTATGGGGCCACGAAATGCGTGAGGGGTGTGCCAAAGTGGGGTGGGGGCGGCATGCGAACCCTGCCACTGGGGCCGTCGGTGGAGCTCCCTATGGGGCCACGAAACGTGTGAGGGGTGTGCCAAAGTGAGATGGGGACGGCATGCGAACCCTGCCACTGGGGCCTTCGGTGGAGCTCCCTATGAGGCCACGGAACGTGTGAGGGGTGTGCCAAAGTGGGGCGGGGGCGGCATGCGAACCCTGCCACTGGGGCCTTCGGTGGAGCTACCTATGGGGCCACGAAACGCGTGAGGGGTGTACCAAAGTGAGGTGGGGGCTGCTTGCGAACCCTGCCGCTGGGGCCTTCGGTGGAGCTACCTAAGGGGCCACGAAATGCGTGAGGGGTGTGCCAAAGTGGGGTGGGGCCGGCATGCGAACCCTGCCACTGGGGCCGTCGGTGGAGCTCTCCCTGTGGGGGCCTACGAAACGTTGTGAGGGGTGTGCCAAAGTGGAGGTGGGGGGGCATGCGACCCTGACACTGGGGCCTTCGGTGGAGCTCCCTATGGGGCCACGAAACGTGTGAGGGGTGTGCCGAAATGGGCGGTGGGGAGGCAGGCGGACCCTGCCACTGGGGCCTTCGGTGGAGCTCCCTATGGGGCCACGAAACGTGTGAGGGGTGTGCCAAAGTGGGGTGGGGGCGGCATGCGAACCCTGCCACTGGGGCCTTCGGTGGAGCTCCCTATGGGGCCACGAAACGTGTGAGGGGTGTGCGGAAATGGGAACTAATGGCGATGGCGATGATGTGATGATGATGATGATGATGATGATGACGATGATGATGCTGGTGGTGATGACGATGATGATGCTGGTGGTGATGATGACAGGATGGTTGGGAACTAATGGCGATGGCGATGATGATGACGATGATGATGCTGGTGGTGATGATGACGAGGATGATGATGATGATGAAGATGAGGATGATGATGATGATGATGATGATGATGATGATGATGACGATGAGTATGATGACGGCGATGGGAGGAGGGAGGAGGGGGGAGAGGAGGAGGAGAGGAGAGGAGAGGAGAGGAGAGGAGACGCGGGGCGCTGTCTCTTCAAAACGAGGGCCCAACACCACAGGATGGTTGGGAAAAAACGAAGACAGGCAGCTTCTCAGAAGGCCACGGCGGTTCTGAGAAACCTCGCCGCCTTCTGAGAAGGCCTCCCCCATTCCTCCTCCTCCTGCTCCTCCTCCTCCTCCTCCTCCTCCTCCTCCTCCTCCCCCTCCTCCTCCCCCTCCTCCTCCTCACTCATTCCTTCCATTCCTTCCCTTCCTTCCCTTCCTTCCATTCCTTCCATTCCTTCATTCCCTCCATTCCCTCCATGTCCTCCATCCCTTCACCTTATAGATAACTCCTCCCTGTCGCACCCCGAGGCCAGCTTTTAGGGCGGGCCGGGCGTTTCGCCTGAGACTTCCCTACCATGTATGACTCTGAAGCTTACAAAGTGAAAGCATATCCACATACGGAGGGCGGGTCGTTTTCAAAATGTGGCTCTCGTCTTAGCGCAACGCAGATTCTTTTTTAATGTAGCAAGAGCTTCACATATGGAAGGCGGGTTGTTTTCAAAATGTGATTCTCGCCTTAACGCCGAACACATTCATTTCGAACTGTTGCGAGAGCTTCACAGATGAGGGCGGGCTGTTTTCAAAATGTGGCTCTCGCCTTAGCGCCGCGCACATTCGATTTACAAAAGTGCGAGGGCTTACTTCACACATTGAAAGCGGGTGGTTTTCAACACGTGGCTCTCGCCTTAGCGTCGCGCACATTCGTTTGAACAAATTGCAAGAGTTTCA